TTCCAAAAGAGACTTGCTGATGTGTAGTGGGGAAGCATGGGTTAATGCAAAACCTAATGCTGAAGACTGAGGATTAATAAGAACTTCAAGCAGTGTACTGTGTAGCAGGAAGACAAGTGGTCAAAATTTAATATGATCTGTTGCTTAATAATCAGATTAAAATGCTGAGCTAAATATTGGGTTAATGCAGCTTGCGAAGGCTGAAACAGTAGAGTCTTATGAAGTTAATGAAATGCACGGTAGTGAACATGTGTTATTGCAACTAGCTATGTCAGGGGTGACCACTGAGAGATGTGCAACAAAGGTGTCTCTGGAGACCTCACAGGAGCTCATGATGTCAGACCTTGAGGTTTCCAAGGACAACTGTGTAGCCGCCCTGAGAGCATTTCTTATAAAATGAAAAATGACAAACTAAATGTCCCACAGGCTCAAGCTGGTGATGGTCTGAGACAGCCTGTAAAAGTCAGGAATACTGATGTTGGGAAATGTATTACTGACAACTGATTACTGTCTCCTGTCTCCCATGGCAGAGTTGTCCCTGGAATTCTCAGGTGGACTCCCGGTGTTGGAGTTGACTTTTGTCCAGGACAGCTCTGATACTGCTCTGGTGGAAAAGCGGGAAAAATTAGCTCAAATGGTATATATGTGGTTAGAGGTGACTGGAACCCAGACACGATAGACTAGAATAGTCCAGCCAAAAAGTTATTTACGTGGTTGAAGGAAACTTCCTTGTGTGACAGTTGGGTGGACATGACAGCTGCTGCGCCAAATGGAGGGTCTGCAGAGCAGCCAGTAGTTGAAGGCATGTTGGTTGTTGAAGAAGTTAATCCCCTCCAGTCAGAGGGACCAGTTAAGGTTGCACACATGGCAGAGGTTTTTGTCCACAGCCCAACAGCAAAACAAATGTTAAGTACAAAAATGTAAGTGTAAAAGGATGCCCTCTCCTTTTAGCATTAGTGAGCCACTGCAGGTCACAACCTGTTACATGCATCAGACAGCGCTCCTAGGAAGCATCAATCTGTGGTGGTGGTGGATACTTCCAAATGTCTCAATCCCTCAAGCTTCAGTGGATTAGCCCCTCCATGTGTAAAAAGCGGAAGAGTCCCTAAAGTTCTGTGCTTAGATGTGGGGTGTATAGAAATCACTGAGATGTTATTGGAAACATTGAAATTAGTGAAAACACTTTTTCTGTACATCTGCATGCATCCACTGCAGATGGGTGGCCTGGTACTGTGTAGTACCAATCAGTGGGGACAGGTGGTACAGGCAATGTTAAGCAATGTTTCTTCAAAATTGGTGTTGATTACTGCCGTGCTGGTTACTTGTATGGAAAGTGGTCTCACGGTTCTCTGTGAGAGTGCTTCCAGTGGCTGTTTTGAGCGGAAGGAGCTCAGGGGTACTGCTATAGAAATTGGAAATGACAGATATATCAGAAGTCTCTCCGTCTGATGGTGTGATAAGGCACATTCCTGTGGATGCGTTCCGAGGTGCGACTGAGCAGGAGTTAGTACATTGCGCGTATAGTCTCACCCACTAGACTTCATGAGAAGGGCTCAGAACAGGCACAGCAGTAGCGGGAATTCTGTCTGTCTCCTGCAAAGAGGTGCAGATTGATTAAGGAGACACTCTGATAGGAAATAATAATTACAGTGTTGATAACTGTACCGGGGGTAGAGTGTATCAACACTGTTGAAAGTTGTCTCACAGTGTGCTGGGTTGCTGCCTACTGCTGTTGTGTATGGTATGAGAAACACACTAGAGCACTGTTGGTGCCAGAGGTATTGGTTGAAGTACCAGAGGACACAGAAATGGTAAAGAGACTCGTGTACAAAAATGTGTTGAAAAAGGTTGGTTGATAGAACAATTGCTTATGGAGTGTTCGGCAACAGGGGGCAATGTGAAACTTTGTGAAAGTCCCATAAAAGTAACCGCTGGCCTGTATGTGATCCTTCCTCAGACACTGTGCTAGCAAACAATGGAACAAGAGTTCTGTGTGATGGTGACCATATTGAACTGAGTAATCCATTTGTGGAATGATTGATGATAAACAGAAGAATGGGGTGTTAATCTCAGAATATTTGGCCGCCAGTGGTAACCACACAGGCATTAGGGAACCTGAAAAACTGGTTAGGATTGTATCAGGTAGGGAGAGAGCTTGGTCCCTGAGAGGTTCCATAGATCCCTACATCCTGGGAGAGAAGGTCTGGGGAGGTAAAAAAAAAACGCAGGAACCCAGGGCCAAATGGTAGAAGGGGTTACCACCCCTTCTACCAGTGGGACCCCATGGTGCAGGAAGAAGTGCTTGTGGAAGTACACCCGTCATCAAGGTACTGCTGTTTCTCTAAGACCCTTATGCAGCTTAGTACAGAGGCTATGTGATCACTTTTAAAAGGGTGTGTAAAAAAAAAAAAGGGGGTGCCAATACTTTTGGCAATATAGTCCATAGACACGTCCATTGGAATGCCAGTCAGAGAAGCATGATTTGTCACTCCAGAGAACATGTCTCCACTGCTCTGGAGTCCAGTGGTGGCGTGCTTTACACCACTGCATCCAACGCTTTGCATTACACTTGGTGATGTAAAGCTTGGATGCAGCTGCTCGGCCATGGAAACCCATTCGATGAAGCTCTCGATGCACTGTTGTTGTGCTAATCTGAAGGCCACACGAAGTTTGGAGGTCTCTAGCTATTGACTCAGCAGATAGGTGGCGACTTCTGTGCAATGTGCGCTTCAGCATGCGCTGCCCTGCTCTGTTATTTTACTTGGCCTTACGTGGAGTTGCTGTTATTCCCAGTTGCTTCCACTTTCCACTAACAGTTGACCATGGAATATTTAGTAGCAAGGAAATTTCACAGATTGACTTATTGCATAGGCAACCTATCACAGTACAAGGCTTGAATTCAGGAGACAGTGACCCATTCTTTCACAAATGTTTGTAGAAGCAGTCTGCATGCCTAGGAGCTTGATTTTATACACCTGTGGCCATGGAAGTGATTGGAATTATGTAATCCAATGATTTGGAGAGGTGTCCCAATACTTTTGGCAATATATACACACTGTATGTGTGTATATATATATATATACTGTATATATATATTTGTACTTTTTTTTTTTTATATAAATACACAGATGTTCAGATGTTTTTCCTTACATTTCTTTTTTTAAATTGAATGGGTTCTTCTACAAGGTGAGGGTTCACATATACTTTGAGTTTGTATCCCACTGACTTGTGGTTCTGACAGGGCCTGTTGTTCTTAAGCCAGCCACACCTGGACCGGTCAAATTTCAATCCATGTATGGACAAGAGGATGTACAGAAGTTGTTTTGTAGATCAACTTCTGTACAACTGCCCTATTGCTTTTCCTCACTCGGAACTATAGCTGGCAAGCTGATCAGTTTATTCTAACAGCGGGGAAGTCTCCCCACTGTCAGAATACAATAGCTCACATCAAGTTCCCTTCCCTGGAACTAAGGGGCCAAGACCAATCCCTGAAGAACAACCCCACATCATAATCTGGGAATTATGGGGAATTCTAGTCAGTTTTTCAGAGGGTTGAATGAAAAGAAAATGACTCATCTATGGGCTGCCTTACATAGGTATTACAATAGGCATTGTTGTGTATGGTTTCAGACTGAGTTTCTTGCATTGCTGATTACCTAACCATCATTTTTCTTTTTAGAGCCTTTGCATTCAATTAAACACATTGGAACTGGCCAAGTGTGTCAGTGTTCGCAGGTCTATGTACAGGGGCAGGTCATCACTGGAGCAGGACAGGAGGACCCAAATAATCTAGACATTGATGCAACTAAAATCCACTACTGAATGTGGCCCTGTATGTAATGAAAGTGACACTAACACTGCAAAGTCAGTCTCAAAAATGGGAGTGTGCATTTTTTACATTCTTTGAAAATGTCTAAATGCAAGTACTTAAATTTTGATCCAACGAAGTAGTGTTTCCTAACTCCAGTTCTTGATATTCATTGACAGCATATGTACAGGCAGAAGCACCAATGCTGTAAATAAAAAAAAAAAAAAACATCAAAGAGAGAAGAAAAAAGGTGACTGGGGATGTTTGCTAAGTACTTATCATGCTCTCTTTATAGGCACAAGCCTTTAGGTATCCCTGCATATTTGGCACTGTTCAGCAGCCGCCATGCAGAGGGAGAGAGGGTAAGGGGAACCAATGTTCCTCTGAGTCCTCTATAGGTGTCATCAGGACAGCAGCTATCCATTTGGGCGCTGCTACCCTGGTTGACCCCTGCATCCATCTTTGATGTGGGCAGTGCTATAAATAGCACTGATAGCACTGTCCCACTTAGGCTGCCCATACACTATACAATTTTCTGTACAATTTCTGCCCAATTTCCTTTAGATTTACCTTCAACTATGTAGTGCAAGGGCCTGCCTAATTGTATACAATTGAAAGTGTTGATAGATTTGTACTTTCTAATGAGGACTCAGTACAATGAGTTTGCTCAGTACATTTTGGGCTAGATTTATTTATTTTATTATTGTTAGCAGTACTAAAAGCCTCATATTGATTTCCCGCACCAACCTGTCAATTACACGTTTTTTCCGTTACATTATATGGTTTTTGGTAAATCTAAAACAAAATTCTCAAGAAAATTGGATAATGTATGGCCAACCTTAGATTGGTGATTTTTTGCAGAGTGACTAGATTAGGAACAGAGAGCATAGCGTAGGGAGAGGTTCCAGTGGAGGTGGGACAGAATAAAACCGCCTTGTTGCGGTCTGCCTTCCAGTCACCTCCTCCATACGCTGTTGGGTATCAGTAGCTTGTACCAGTTCAGGGCTTAAAATCTCAAGTCCTGAGCTACTAGCCAGGCCTTAGAGTTACTCGCCACCAACAAACACACACATGCAGTGCGCACAAACAGAGACACCTGTACACACACACAGAAACATGTACACACACACACACAGAGACACATGTACACACACACAGGCACGTACAGACACGCATACACACAGATACATGTATATACACACACGCACACATACACACACAGAAACATGTACACACATACACATACAGACACATGTATACACACACACAGGCACGTACAGACACGCATACACACAGAAACATGTACATATACACACACACACACAGAAACATGTACACACAGACACATGTACGTACATACACACAAACACACACACATGTACATGAACACACACAGACACATGTACTCATACACATACATGTACATACACGCAGACACGTACAGATACACACATGTACATACACACAGACACATGTACAATTTTACACGCATACACAGACACACACACATAATTACACCCACACACCCCCCCCCCCCCCCCCATAAAAAGTTGCAGTACTTCGTTGTTCACTCAGAGATCCGGGTACTGCACTCTAGGGGGAGGCAGAGAGCACAGCACACACTTCTTGCTTTGCTTTCACTGCGCTCAGCTATTGAGCAGTTTTGACGACTCCCAGTGCCAATGACAGATCTGGCCTGAGCTCTGAGCCTGCTCAGCAAGCAGCCCTGGGGGGCACACTCGCCCCCACCATAATTTCCACTCGCCATTGGCGAGCTGAAATTTCAAGCCCTGCTCTGCATAATAATCTGTAAGGGTTGCCAGGTCAGTGCAGCAGTGCATACAGACTTCATACTATCTTCTTGGAACTATTGCATCAATATACTCTTCTGCATTACTTGGCCTCCGTGTGTGTACTCTCCTCTCTGGGTCCTCTGTGCCCCCCACTAACAAGTCTACACATATACCAGCTGCAAACATACATCTTTCAATACAGTCTTTCATTAGAAATATAATTTGGTGTATGGATTGCACAGGATCAGGTGATTGAATCAATAATGACTATAGGCAGAATCAATGTGCAGCTAACACTAGCGTTAAAAAAAAATTTCATAGGACCAACTAGAGGTATGATTGATAGACTTTATCACTTAGCAACAACAAAATTGAAAGAGAGCAAAGTTTACATGGACAGTGGGTTGAGAACCATTATTTGGCTAGGACTTGTCCGTATGTAATGAGTGGACTTTTTTTTTACGTAAAGGTTGTTCTGCAGTGAGTGTGTGTCACAAAATAGGAATTCTATTTCATAATTGCATGTAACTTAATATTCTCTCTGTAGCCAATGCTTCCTATTACACATGAACTATTAACATACATAATAATAATATCATAAAAATTAACAAAAAAAAGTGAAAAATTAAACTTCAGCACATCAAACAAAAATATAATTGGCTAAAATCAACCAAAGAAAGTGACTGTTTTACTATCTAATGAGGACTCAGTATAATGAGTTTGCTCAGTACATTTTGGCCTATATTTATTTATTTTATTATTGTTAGCAGTACTAAAAGCCTCATATTGATTTCCCGCACTAACCTGTCAATTACACGTTTTTTCCGTTATTTGGGCTAACTTTTCCCTCTTTCAAACAATAGGTAAGAATTTACACAATATTAACTCTCCATGGTGCAGACACATTAAAAATGTGAGGCATAGCACATACATTTTTAAATACATGTATGCATAGCAAAGCAACATTTGTGAGCAGTGCTGGGACAAAGGCCTTTAATATAGAAGACAAAAAGTGCACCCTTATCATGAGCTGTGAACTACCTCAGCAGTATAGATTTGCATCCCTCTTGCTGTAGTGCCCAGTGCAGCTGCCACTTCTTCCCAGCCCTGTTTGGGAATACAGCACTTTTTCCCCATTGTGTTTAAAAAAAAAAAGAAGGAAAATCCAGAATGCTGACTTGTCAGTTAATGTGATATAAATATGACACAATGTCCCTTTGGCCTCTTCAAAATCTGTGTAAAGTTATGCCTATAAAACTTTCCATATTGGTTCATAAATAATCAGGATAGCTTATGAACCAATATAGAATGTCATGCAAACATTGTGGATGAGTAAAATAAAAGTTGATATTCTATCACATTTCTACCACTGTCCATGACCCCATCAACAAGATTTTTCCTATCTTCCTGTCCCCTGTGATTGTCAGAAGTTTTAACCCCTCCCCACGCTACTAAATATGTGTTTGTGTATCTTGTGTCCCCATTGTTATTATTGTTATTTTTGTTCCTAACAGGAATTCTGGGGAAAACTCCCCAACAAATAACAATAAAAAAATGACAGAGAATTTAACCTTTCCCTGCTCTACCCAGAACAAAAACAAATTGTGTCATCTTTCATAAATGAGTATATATATATATATATATATATATATATATACACACACACACACACATATATACACACATATATATATATATATATATATATATATATATATATATATATATACACACACATATATATATATATGTTGGTCTGAGGAAAGTCAAACCACACAGCTTATTCCACCATTAGCAATGTGGCTAAAACAAACAGGCCAGGTGCATTTTGTTGTAAGTTTAATACTGCAAACAGAGAAAATGCAGTGCTCCCATGACAAGTCCCTAACAAAGTAAAATTCATTTTTTTAGTTTATTTCTTTGAAACTATTTTCCTATACAAAAACTGTTGCCAGTGTTGGGCATTCTAATGTTTATAGAGTTGGTAAAGCCTTTTTAAAAGAATTCTCTGCTTGTGTTTTCCGCTTCCATCAGTTTCAAGTTAATGTTTATGGTGAGTTTGGGAAAGGCCTGTTAAATGATGCCACTGGCCATTCTTTTGTGATTGTTTGCAATTTCCTTTCCCAGTACATTTTCTTTTTTTATTTAGGATTTCCATCTTTATCCGGTGTTCCACCTCAGCCATTTCACATTCTCGCTCAATCTGCTGCACTTTAGCTACATGTACTTCATTCATCTGAATAAGCTGGAGCTGAAGGATAGACATCTGTTGGTGGTGTTCTTCCTCATGCATCTTTGTCAGAAGGCCATTCTGAGAAGGTTTGCTCCTGTAGGTCCTGTTAGCAGTTATTCTGGCAGATGAGCAGGTGGGTGATGGCATGTTGCCTTGACATTTCACCATGTTGACTATAGACTTCTCTGCTGAGTAAATCTCTCTTTCAGGGATGACAAAAGGTTCTAGAGAATTAAAATATTAAGATTATTATTACATGTAAAAAAATGTTGGCAAAAACTATTATGCTCAACTATAAAACTGCAGGAAATACAATGAAATTAGAAAAACAAAAACAAAAATGAACCTTGCACAAAATTTGATCTACACTCTATTTATTAGCCTCCAGCCCACTATGTAAAAGTAGCTAGCTAAAAAGTAAAGAACAATCAATAAATAAAAAGCAATAAAGAGCATTGTCATAAAATTTGGGATTCTCAGCCGATTGGTGCCAAAAACAGATTTGGTGGCAAACATCTTTTATTTTACTGCTCCCTTGTTTCAAAGTGTCATTAAACCCAATTAATTATAAACTGTCAGTACATGCTTTATTAAATTATGTGTATACTCACTTTGCCACTAGAGCTTTTCGTTTTCTGTAAATTGCAAAAACCTGGTTGATACTGCTGTTCACTGCCCCTCTCTCCTTGTCTGTATCCCTCCTGTAGGCTGAGATTATGTAGACCAGCTGTTGCCACAACGTACTGAGCATGCTCCAATTTTAGTTAGCTTCTAAGATGTTAATTTCCTCCTTTTTCTTATCTGTCCAGCCTACAGTATGTGACTATAGTCACACATATAGGTGAATACACACTGGTAAATGACAGTCCTCTCCCTGTACTTTACAGTGTGAAAAAAATAAAAGCTTTTGTCAGTAAACTTAAACTCCACCTACATCATATATAGAACTGTAAGTTGTGGGATTTTCAGGGCACAAAAACACAAACAAATAATATTTATTAAAAAGATTTTTCAATTTTTATTGGTCAGTTTTAAAATTGTGGTTAAATACAATACTGTTGAAACAACAATATAAACTTGGCTGTTTGCTGTGGCTTTGCGGAATATAACTTCCCTACATGTTTTGCCCAACATGGGCTTCCTCAGGGGAAGAACCCCAGTACAGTCTACAATAAATATGAAAAATATCAATTGAGATAACAAAAATCAATTTTTGTGTACAAAAGTACCTTTTTGAACAACTTAAGATTCCCTAGCTTACCATAAGCGTCAAGCTCCCAAAGCTATTGAGGCGTATCAATATAGACAATTGGACATCATTTTGGCCCAAACATCCGTACAATTGCAGAGGATATAGGAGAGGTCAAATATCCACCTAAATATAATATATATAGCCCCAGTGGTGCATTTTGGTTTTGTGCTGCCCTAGGCAAGACTAAAATCGGGCACCCCCCAGCATCTAAATTTGTCTCGCCCCTTCCTGTTTAAGATCCATCCCTTCATCTGCAAACTCCACACCTTCCTATTAGAACTCCGTCCACTGACACCAACAATGGGACACTATTCCTCCCATGGACACCAACGATGGGGCACTATTCATCTCACTGATACCAATGATGGGGCACTATTCCTCCCACTGACACCAACGATGGTGCCCCACCATTAGTGTCAGTGTGTGAGGAATAGTGCTACATCATTAGTATCAGTGGGAGGAATAGTGCCCCATCATTAGTGTCAGTGAGAGGTATTCCTTTCACTGACACTAATGATGGGGCACTATTCCTATTGTGCCCCATCACTGGTGTCATTGGGAGGAATAGTGCCCCATCATTAGTGTCAGTGGGAGGAATAGTCCTATCATTAGTGTCAGTGGGAGGAATAGTGCCCCATCATTGGTGTCAGTGGGAGGAATAGTGCCCCATCATTGGTGTCAGTGGGAAGAATTATTTATTTATTTCAGGTACTTATATAGCACTGTCAATTTACACAGCGCTTTACATATATATATTGTACATTCACATCAGTCCCTAACCCTCAAGGGGTGTACAATCTAAGGTCCCTAACTTACATTCATACATACACATACTAGGGACAATTTAGACAGGATCAAATGAACCTACCAGCATGTCTTTGGAGTGTGGCAGGAAACCAGAGTACCCGGAGGAAACCCCACGCAGGCACAGGAAGAACATGCAAACTCCAGGCAGGTGGAGCCGTGCCTGGGATTTGAACCAGCGACCCTAGTACTGCCAGGCAGAAGTGCTAACCATTTAGCCACTGTGCCGCCCCATCATTGGTGTCAGTGGGAGGAATTGTGCCCCATCATTAGTGTCAGTGGGAGAAATAGTGCCCCATCATTGGTGTCAGTGGGAGGAATAGTGCCCCATCATTGGTGTCAGTGGGAGGAATACTGCCCCATCATTAGTGTCAGTGTGGGAGGAATAGTGCCCCATCATTAGTGTCAGTGTGGGAGGAATAGTGCCCCATCATTGGTGTCAGTGGGAGGAATAGTGCCCCATCATTGGTGTCAGTGGGAGGAATAGTGCCCCATCATTGGTGTCAGTGTGGGAGGAATATTGCCCCATCATTGGTGTCAGTGTGGGGAATATTGCCCCATCATTGGTGTCAGTGTGGGAGAAATACTGCCTCATCATTGGTGTCAATGGGAGGAATAGTGCCCCCCTCATTGGTGTCAGTGGGAGGAATAGTGCTCCATCATGTCACTGGGAGGATAAGTGCCCCATCACTGGTGTCACTGGGAGGAACAGTACCCCATCATTGGTGTCAGTGGGAGGAAAAGTGCCCCATCATTGGTGTCAATGGGAGGAATACTGCCCCATCATTTGTGTCTGTGGGAGGAAAAGTGCAGTATTAACAGTATTAACCAGTATGAACAAATCCCATGTTCAACAATCATCAAATAGTGTAATAGCATAGCATATGCAAGAGCAAAAATCACGATAATTACATAAAAATCTATTATAGAATATAGACATCCTATTGATTCAGTCGCTACTGTGAGGATGATACAGAGCAAGACTATAGAATTATAAAAAATGGTTTAAAATGTAATGACTCCTTCAGGCCTGGAGAATGAGTAGCGTCAAGTTTGTAAATCTGCACATCTGGCGGGATATGTTCCAACGCCATGTCACTGGGAGGAATAGTGCCCCATCATTGGTGTCACTGGGAGGAATAGTGCCCCATCATTGGTGTCAGTGGGAGGAAAATTGCCCCATCATTGTTGTTGGGAGAGAATAGTGCCCATCATTTGTGTTTGTGGGAGGAAAAGTGCCCCATCATTTGTGTTAGTTGTGGGAATAGTGCCCCATCATTGGTGTCAGTGGGAGGAATAGTGCTCCATCATCAGTCTCAGTGAAAGGAATAGTGCCCTATCATCGGTGTCAGTGGAAAAATAGTGCCCCATCATCGGTGTCAGTGGGAGGAATAGTGCCCCATCATTGGTGTCAGTGGGAGGAATAGTGCCCCATCATTGGAGTCATTGGGAGGAATAGTGCCCCATCATTGGTCCCACACAGACACTTACCCATCATCTGTCTTCCTTCTCCGGCCGCTTTCCTCTTCACCGCTTCCAGCTGCTCCCTCACTCCATCTTCTCCGAACTTCGTGCTGCCACTTGGCTCCTCCTCTCCAAGCTCTGCCTCCTCACTGGTGATTGGCCACCCGTGTGCCTTTCTTGAGCTACAGATCTGATGGTCAATCACCGGCGAGGAGGCGGAGCTTGCAGAGGGTGGGACAAGCTGCCATAGGGTGCCCAGTGATCCTGGGGGTGTGGCCAGATAAGAGGGGCAGTATGTCATCCCACCCACATCGCAATCAAGATCCAAGAAGATGAAGACACTGGATGGACACCCTCTCCACCCCTCCTCCAGCAGCGCCTCGTGGACTGGATCAAAGTGGGACACGGAGTAGCGGAGACAGGTAAGACACAGCAGCCCCTGTCCCTTTCCCACAGAAGTGTCCCTTCCATGGGAAAGGGGGGGGGGGGGTGGCGCTGCTGCCACACCGCCCTCTTGAAAAGTGCAGATAAAAAATTCCTTGTTTTCCTTGCAGCAAATACACCCCTGTATAGCCCAAGAAAAAGAGAGGGGAAAGAGCTGAGACAGATGTAAATTTCTAACACCTCTATATATTACTTACAATAATCAAGATAGAAAAGATCCGATTGTCACTCTCAAACTTTGCCACTAGATGTCAGTAACAGTCATCAATTCAAGGGCGATCAGCTATAAAGAACCAGATACTTAGGAAATAGTTCATAGAAGGCCACCTAAGTGGCCATACAGTCACCATAACTTTAAAAGAGCCCTTAACATTGAGCCTCCATCTTACTAAAATATGGTCCAAAACAGCTTGAGGTTCACACAAACAAAACGCCTCTGTAGCCAAGATGCCATATTCTATTTCCTGCACTCTTTTATATCCTCTACGCTGGCTGACGTGTGACGTCATTGGCTGGGTGCGGACGTCCGATATACAACTGCACATGCGCAAGGATCTCCGGCGCACATGAGCGAACCAAAGCCGCCCAGCAACATTGCAAAATCCTAAAGGAAGCAATAAGGACAACCACAGCAGCACCACCAGTGGTCACCAGAGTAATGTCACTGTGCACACAATCCTATGAACATAACCGCCATCTAGTGGTGACTCCACTCACTCTACATAAACAAATGTCCAATTTTGTACCCTACCGATAATAATCAGAAAGAGTGTTTAAGGAACCATGTTTGGAACAAGGGGATTGGATTCGCGGGCAAGAGGTATTGAGGTGAACATATTGGAATGCTCCGAGAAGCTATGCGGTGTCCGTACAATTGCACCATAGGAGGTTGGTATAGGGGACAAAATTGTAATTTTAAAGTTAATATTCTTTCTATAAGGTAATCAGGTAAGCTGGTGGAATCATGAATCTAAACAGTATTAATCAGTATTAACAAATCCCATGTTCAACAATCATCAAATAGTAAAATAGCATAGCATATGCAAGAGCAAAAATCACGATAATTACATAAAAATCTATTATAGAATATACACTGTAGACATCCTATTAATTCAGTCGCTACTGTGAGGATGATACAGGCAAGACTATAGAATTGTAAAAAAAAGGTTTAAAACATAATGACTCCTTCAGGCCTGGATAATGA